CCCCAAAACCCCAAAACCCCAAAACCCCAAAACCCCAAAACCCCAAAACCCCTAACTTTTATAACATTTTTGAAATATTTTGAATGATGAACAGCCGAGCAGGCAACAGCAGGGGGAAACCCAGGAAATCTAAACCAGCTAACAAGAAGCTCCTTCCTTCACAAATTTTAGAATTAGAAGCACAGAGGAGAGAACAAGAGCTTATAGAACTAAGAAAGAAAATGCGTGAGGACCAGCAGAGGAAATTCAAGCAAAATGCAGAAGCTAATGGTAATCATTGGAAGAGTGGTACCAAGAGCCAGAAGTTACATGGCTATGCAGGACATGTAGGCGATCAGTGGGCTAAAGGAACTGATCTTAGTTATTCTAACCCTCAATCAGCACAACTTCATAAGAGAGCTGGGTCCAGACAGAGTACTGGGGAAGGCCAGATTATTCATAAAGGGTTAAACATTAAGAACTCTAAGCAAAGTACTGGTAATCAAATCTCTATCGAATCCAATTTTAATAAAGCTCTTAACGATCAGAACAATGATTATAAAGAGGTAGACTCTTTCCTGGGAGAAATCAAGATGGAAAAATATAAAGACGTCTTTATCGACAATGGAATTGAAGACAGAGAAACTATAATGGAACTTAAGGAAGAACATCTAGAGCAGATGAACCTTCCTCTAGGCCACAAGCTCAAAATTATGAAAAGGATCAAGGATATTAATAAAAAGAAAAATGTAGCGAGAGAGCAGGTGAGAAAACAGGAGGAGATCAAAACCTCAATGGCAGCTTCAACTAGTTCTCAACAGAACAGTTCTAATTTGTTGGACGGTGTTTATGATGAGGAGGAAAATAAGAAAGAGTTCCAACAAGCCTTAGAGGCTTGGAGGAATGCTGGCCAAAAGGAATCCGCATTAAAACACCCATCCTCAGCAGCCTCTTCCAAAGGAAGAGCTAAGAAGAATGTGAGGTTTGCTGAGGATCCTCCTGAGGAGGTCTTGATACTCAACAACCAAGATGAGCCTGAGGAAGATAATGAGGCAACTCTTATCCCAACTACTAGAAAGCCTACAACAGAAATTAAGGAAGGAATGGTTGCATTCAAGGGTCTTTCTATGTCCAAGAATAGCTTCTTGTACTCAGAAGAAGCTAGTGGCAGCAACGTTTGGAATGCTAATCTCCTATCTACAGTAGACAACGCAGAGACATCTCCTATGGAGGAGATGCCCTTGAGGGCATCTACCCCAAAAATAGAGAAGGAGCTGTGCAACCAGTGCTACAAGTATGTGGATAAGTCTTTGTGAGAAAAAGACTCTCTAACAAAGAAGATGTTCTGATCGATGGACTGCCAAGCTAACTTCTTCATGAAGAACGTGGGCAGGTGATCTAATGAAGAATGTGACAAGTACTTCATGAAGAAAGATGGCCTTATAGTAAATAAGGAGTGGTACTGATCAACCGAGTGAGGTAGTAAGGGCTTTGAGCTATTAAATCGAGAGGAAGAAGTGCTGGAAGAAGAGATTGGTGAAGAAGAAGAGGCAATTGAGATTGATTTAACTGACTTTCAATATTTTTAAGAAAATCGGGGTTTTGGGGTTTTGGGGTTTTGGGGTTTTGGGGTTTTGGGGTTTTGGGGTTTTGGGG